GAAGGGGTGCAGAGCATATATGCGGGTACCAGGGATCCATCAGGGGTGGCCATGCGTGAGGCAAGCAACCTCCCTGCCAGACTAAGGAGTCCCCCCCAACCCACACCCCGCAGGGTCCTTGCTCCAGGCCAGTCCTTGCCCCCAGATGCTGATGGACACTGACAGGGCTTTACTGCACCCCATTTGTTTAGGGGGAAGCTGTTTCGGGAGTTTCCCGAGTCCTGGGGGCCTCCGGTGAGTCTCGCCCCACCGGGCCGTGCATTGGCCTTGGGCCTTTTCCTAGAGGCTCCAGGCGAGCGTGGACACGACATTCTCCAGGGGACGCCAGCAAGACGTGTGCAAGGCTAGCCGGTGGCCTGACCGGCAGCTCTGTCTCACAGCACCTCTGACCCAGGAGGGGACATGCAGCACTAGACATGGCCTGTCTGGGGGCACGAATGCCCAGGAAGACCCCAGACTCGGGCCTACAGCTGGAAGCTCCTCCTTCCCCAAGAGGTGAGGGGCCAGGCCTGGTGTCGCCTTCTGAACGCACCGGAAGAGGAACTCAGGTGTCATCACCACTGGCCAGAGCAGGGGGCCAGGGGAGGGAGGGGAGTTCAGGATCACCCCAGCCTTCAGGAATCAGACACAGCTCGTCCAGGCTGGTCATGTAAAGGCTGCAGCAACAGTACAGAGGGAGGAGGCTGGCCCTGCGCTGCCGACCAGGGTTCGAGCCCCACCAGGAGTGATCCCCGAGTCGGAGCCAGGAGTCGTCACAACCATGCCGCTGGGCCCTGAGCCAGGCTGATTCACTCGGGGCGACCCGGAGGAGGGCGGGTGGGACCCGTCCCTGCCCCAAGGGACCCAGCCCAAGCAGCCCAAAACCTCCAGAACTCAACTGCCGCCAGGCTCACGGCCCCTTTCCACACCTCGGGCCGAGCCTCACCCTCAAGTGAACCTTTTCCTGGACCGCACAACCAGCCCTTCACACCACACAGCCCACCATACTCCACGAGCACCGCACCACATTTGATGGGGCTCAAAGCAGGAGGCAACCAGTCTAGAGGGAAATGTTTTTTTACAGATATATATATAGATAGATAGATCGATAGATACATAGGTAGGTAGATAGATATAAACCACATAAGGCTCAACCTTTAGCAATATGTTAACGAGCTCTTACAGAAGGGCTTAATGGCCCCTGGGTAGAAGACAACAATCTTCACAGTCTTTCCTCTAAGGAAACCTTTTTGTAGCATTTTCAGCGATACAAAATATACTATTTCGGTTCTACTTTGGGGCAGGAATTGGGACTCGGGATGGAACCATCGAAATATGGTAGCGGGAAGGTGTGATGGTGGTGGCGTTGGTGTTTGAATAGTAAATGTAATCAAAGATTGTGAACTACTTTATAAAATAAAAAAGAAATGAAGGGAAAAATAAAAGCTGAGAAGACAGATCTGGAATTCCTGAAACGCTACCGCTCAATTCCTGATGAAACTTTTACCACTTACCTTGAGGTCTCTATGAATATATTTTTTTTTGTGTATGTAATTCACACCTTCAACTATTTGTTTGAAAAACTGTAATGCCAGGGTCTTGTCGGGCTTCTGATGCCTCATCCTGTCGATCCACTGGTCCAGGGTCCCCTGACCACAGAATTCCATTTTGATGAAAAGGCATTCAGTCTCCGGCCTGGACCCAGGATTCACAGCAACAGAGAGAAGAAAACCCAAACGCAAAGGTTTAAGAACTACGCTTTGTCTTGCAGAGGCTTTGAAAACACTTTTGGTTCTACTCATTTCTGATGTTTAGAGATGGTATTCGGGAAGGAGGGCCACAGCCGGCGATGCTCGGGGCTGACTCCTGGCTCTGCACTCCGGAATCCCTCCCGGCGGGTTCTGGGGACCAAACCCGGTCACCCGTGTGCAAGGCCCTGGTCGTACTTTAGTGTTTCGTGACAGAAAAAAAAGGTGAGAGCCCGGGGCCTCCCACTGCAAAGCTCTACTGCTGCTGTGGCTTCTCCGTGCCCCTCTCGGGACAAGCCTTTCTGCTCAGAGCCCCAGACACTCTCTGGATTCCCCGTCTTGCCCAACGCTGAGCGGTCAGCAGCTGCCCGTGGCGACATCGGGCCCTGGTGCGCACGCCCGGGCCCGGCCTGTCTCCAAGGCAGTGGCTCCTGCGAGCCTGATCCTCGGCTCTCACCGATCTGCCTCGGGCGCACAAAGCTGTCCACAGTAGCACGAGGGGGCACAGAGGTCGCACAGCGGGCAGGGCGCTGGCCTGCCACCGCGTCTGGCCCCTGACCCCCACGAGCAGGGGTCTCTGAGCACAGAGCCAGGACTTAGCCCTGACAGCTGGGGACCAGGAGCGGCCCCCAAACAAAGTAACCATTTATTTTCTCTTTTTGGGTCACACCCGGCGATGCTCAGGGGTTCCTCCTGGCTCTGCACTCCGGAATGACTCCTGGCTCTGTGCTCAGGGCTGAGTCCTGGATGACTCCTGACTCAGTTCTCAGGGCTGACTCCTGACTCCGTGCTCAGAGCTGACTCTTGGCTTGGTGCTCAGGGCTGACTCCTGGCTCTGTGCTGGGGCCTGCAGAGGGGCCGGGCCCCTGACCTGCCGTGACCTCCGCCCTCTCTCATGTGAGGCCCCCCACACGTGGGAAAGGTGCGTCCTGGCCCTGAGGAGCAGCTTCTGCAGGAGCGTCCGGGCGGGCTCTGGAGCCGAGCGTCTGGGTGTGGGGCCAGTTCAGTGCTGGGCTCCAGAAGCTCTGCTACTGGGGGACACACTGGCAGTGCCCGGGGGCCCCGGGACGACCAAGCAGTGCTCAGGGGTCCGCCCTGGGGGTGCTCGGGGCCACGTCCGGCGCCGAGACGGAGCCCAGGCGAGCCAAGGCGAGGAGAGGACCGTCGCCCTGTGCGGCGTCCCAGCCCCTTCCCGAGACCTCGGCGAGTTACCTCCACTCGTAGTCCCTGAAGAGTCGGTCGGGGCCCTTCCAGCAGTCGTGGTAGAGAACGATGTTCGGGTGCCTGAGCTCCGCCAGAGCTTCGACTTCACGCTTCACTTTCCTGGGGAAAAGAAACAAAGAAGCCAAAGTGAGGAAGAGCACAGGGACGCGGAGTCCCCCCTGACAGCACACGCTGCCTCCCCGGCCCTTCCGAGGTCCCCGCAGCCCGTGGCCCAGAAAGGATGCTGCGGCACTCACCAGGGAAAGAAGCGTCGCGAAGCCACTGCCCTCCGCATGAAAGCAGCAGCAGGAGCCCCTGGCCGCATGTGCAGAGCCCAGGGGTCAGTCCCAAGCCCCCGCCCGGGGCCCCCTCGGCCCAGCCTCGAGCCCCCACACGGCAGAGCGGAGGGAAGCCGGCGGCAGCGGCTTCTGCCGTGCCCAGAAAGGGATTCCGGGGCCAGGCGCGCGCTGGGATTCTGCAGCCTGCACTGATGTCAAGTCACGCTGGATTCTGTGAGCAGCTGCCTTGGGTGACAAGCACTGACTTCCCCTCTCCACTCCCCCCTCCTTCCGACCTCCTCCTCTCATCCTTCCTCTCTTCCCTCCTTCTTTCCCTCCTTTCCTTCCTTCTCCTTTCTCTCCTATATCCCTCTTATTTTCCATCCATCCTTCCTTCATTCCTTCCTTCCTTCCTCCTTCCTCCCTCCCTCGATCCCTCCCTCCCTCCTCTATTCCTCCCTTTCTTCCATCCTTCTTTCCTTCCTTCTCTTCTTCCCTTGTTCCCTTCCTCCTTTCTTTCCTGTATTCCCCTGATTTGCCTTCCTCCCTCCCTCCCTCCCTCCCTCCCTCCCTTCTTTCTTTTCTTTCTTTCTTTCTTTCTTTCTTTCATTCTTTCCTTCCCTCTCTCTTATTTGCAGTGCAGATAATTTCTACTTAACTCTTCTCTACATTGATTACATTCATTATTTCGACAAAAGATGCACCATTATTGTTTAGAATTTCCCCCCAGACAATCAGAATTGCTGAAAATGCATTGTGAAATATTTTGCTTTCTATAGCTGGTTATGAGAATCATATAATGTCATGCGGTCACGATTTTGGATTTTGGCAAAGAGCTAGATAATTATGAGATGGTTTCTGTGTATCTGGTGTTATGGCCGTGCTGAAGAGCCACTCGTGGGGGGTAACTCATGACATCGGTAGGGCATGAAGGACGAGCTGGTACCGCCCCCCTTCCCATGAGACTGCAGTTGCCCCATCACAGCCAGCTCCTACCTGGCTTTCCTGTAAGCTCTGAGGCAGCGACCACCTTGCTGCCAGGGGGGGAAAAGGCAGAAGGGAGCAACACCCTCTCCCTCCCGGGGAGGCACGGCGCCGTAGTTGAACGCACGGTCCAGAGAATGACATTTTTAAGGCCAGCTAGAAAAAGTCAGTAATGCTCCTTCATACAGTACTATTATTCTACACAGATTATTATACTGAAAAAAGGAATATCAGACAACACTTTCAGACAACGGAATGAACATTCGCTACTTACTCGTTGTCGTATTTAACGCGCTTAATAACATAAGTCTTGCCATCAATCTTGTGACGAGCTTTGAAAACTTGCCCGTATCCTCCTTTGCCAATTGGTTTGATGTCTGTGAAATGCTCAAGAAAGCTTAAGAGACAAAGGTCGCAGTTACTCTCCCGAGGTGTGAGTCCAGCCACCGCTCCACTGACCCTCCCTTAGCCTGGAGCAGCCTCCAAGCCAGAATCTTCCATTTGCTTGTTTTGGGCTCACCCCTGGCATTCCTGGGGCCCAGTCCCAGCTGCATGGGGTGGAGGATGGGGTCCTGGCTCCATCACGGGGGTGCTGTGCTAGGCCACAGTTCCAAGCCTGGGCTCCTGCATGCAAAGCATGTGCCCTGCCCACTGAGCTCTCTGGCCCTCTAGCCCCAGAACAAAAGCACGTCTGCTACGATGGGAGAACCACATCCCGCCCGAGAGCAAGAGCGTGAGCAGGAGGGGCTGGCACTCAGAAAGAGGGCCACTGTTTTTGGTTATGTTTGGGGGTCCCCCCTGGCAGTGCTCGGAGCTTCCTCCTGCTTTCACCCAGGGACCATGATTCTGGCGCTTGTTGGGTCACGTGGGGTGCTAAGGATCAAACAGGCAAGCGACCAAGCACCGAATATTGCTCCAGCTCTAAAAGGCGTCCTGTTACGTCCGAGCCCCTGAGCACACTGGTGGGAGCAATGAGCGCAGGTTGACCCAGAAGGGCCGCCGGCTGCCCCTCCTGAACCTACCCACCACGTGAGACAGGCTAATGTGTTCACTGACGCAGAGACTCACAGATAAATCTCAAAAGAGAACAACAAGTTACAGAGGCTCTTCTGGACCCCACGCCAGGCTGAGTCGTCCAGGGCACCCTGGAGGGGCGGCGGTCAGCCCAGCGCCCACACAAGTAGAACCCCCGCAGTGGAAACTTCTAGACTCCACAGTTGCCACCCTGCTACTGGCCAGACCCCACTGCTTAGGACGAGCCTCACCTAGAATATAATTTGCTGAAAAACTCAGGTATGCAGGTTTTGTGGCTGAAATCTCCAGGCTCTCAAGGAGTCAGGGATGGGTGACCCCGCCCCATCTCCCTGTATGTCCAGAAGCCCAGATAGCCACACACATATACCCCAAAGCTGCCACCCAGTTAGAATTTAACTGTATCAGCTCGTTAAAAATGTTGGACTTCCAACATTTCAAACTCTACAACCCTGATAAACCAGGAGTAAGTCACATACATTCTCTCTCTCTCTCTCACACACACACCCACAGACAAACAGACACACACACACACACACACACACACACACACCACGTGCGTGCCCTCGTCTGAACCCGCTCTCAGCAGCTGCCCCTCCACTGGACACGCGACTGCCCTGCCCCCACCCTCCCTGCTCTGGGGTCGGTCCCCAGCACCCCGCACAATGGGGTCTCGCCTGACTGTCCCTCCCTTCGAGAAGGACCCAGCACCAATTTTCGCGCTTGATCAGACGCAGAAAGTTCCGTGGCTGCCTCCCCTGGCAGGGCTGACACGGCGTCCTGCGCAGGCTCCTCCTGGCTTCCTTCTCCCCAGGTGCACCCCTTCCCGCCCCAGCCACACCCAAGGGTCCCACGTCCTCCTTTCTTGTGTCCCTCGGCTCGTGGCCTGGCCCCGGCATCCGTGGCGGCGCCTCCCACGCCCGAAGCCCCCAGTGGCCACACGAGTCTCTTCCCGATTCGGTTCCCAGCTAAGGGCTCTTGATTCTTTCCACTCCAGGCAACCCCCTGTGGCAAAAGGGCCCCCGGAATTTCGTTTTCATGTTTTCCTTCCGGGGCCTCTCAACGGGTCCTGGGGGCCTCCGAGTTAATCCTGGTCACTCTCGGTCAACCAGGCCAGCAGCTCAATGCTGAGGCCAGGACTGGAGACAGACAGCAGGGGGGCTGACCCGGGTTCAACTCCAAGCACCACACTGGATGCCCGAGCCCCACCAGGAACGACTCCTGAGCACTGCCGGGTGTGGCCCCCAAAGCAAAAAGCGGCAAAACAAGCGGCTGTGTCCCCATTCTCCGCCCACGCCTGCGAGCGCCTTTGCTCCTGGAATAAGCCCGGGGGCAGGGGCGCCGGCCTCCTCCACGCGCCCCCGAATGGACAACTGCCGTGGTCTTCTGTGCTCGCCTCAGGGCCTTCTCGGAGACCAAGTGCCAGGAAGCTGAGGCTGCGTGTGCGGAAGGCCCTCGGCTCCAACCCCTGCACACTCACACACATCCACACAGATGAACTCCGCACTCTTACACACGCAGACACACTCACACGCTCTTACATGCGCTCACACACACATGCACTCACAAATACACACTCACACACTCAAACATACACACTCCCATAAATACATAATCTATTGTACAGTCACACACAAACACACACTCTCACACATGCACTCTCAGCCACACAACCTCACACATACTCTCACACACACTCTTACATGCACTCATACACAGATACACTCACATATACACACTCACTCACTGAAACACACTCCCATAAATACAAAATCTATTGTACATTCACACACATACTCTCACTCTCACACATGCACTCTCAGCCACACAACCTCACACATACTCTCACACACACTCTTACATGCACTCACATATACACACACATTCTCCCACACAGGCCCACACATGCCCACTATCATAGACTCACACATATACACACACTCACACACGCACTCTCTCACACACACACACCCTCACACATATTCTCATACACTTACATGGGCACTCGCACACACACAAACCCTCACACGCTCACACACACACACACACTCACACCCCTTCACACACACTCACACCCTCACACACCCCCACAACACTTGCTCACTGGCTGCACCCAGACCACCGGGAACTGCCCTGGCAGAGGTCGGCCTACCTGCAACGCCCCCGCCTCTCCTCACCTCCTCTCCGTGGTGTACGGGCATTTGTCTGCTGCTGCTGCTGCTGCTTCTGGAGGTGCCCTGAAGTTCAAGAGCAAAATCAGAGGGAAGGAGAATCTGCAAAGAGCAACGGGGCTGGCCGGGAGGGGGCTCAGGGGCTTGTGTGACGCCAACAGCTACGAAACCTCCCACTTGAGGGTCTCCTCTGCCCACCTACAGCCTACGGGCCTCCCCTGGCTCCTTCTGGGGCCCTCACAGCCCCGCGGGGCCCTTGGCGCTCCCCGCCACTGCGTCCTCTGCGCCGCGGCCCCCGCAGCCGGGGGTCCCTCTGTCCGCCCCTCGCAGCCGTCTGCTGCCTTCTCCCTCGCAGCCGTCCTCCTCGGCCCCTTCCCTCCTGGTATCCGGGCTGCAGCCTCCTGAGCACCCTCGAGGCCAGCGGGTTCTGACGAAGGCCCATTCCCCGGAACTATACCCGGCCCTTCCCAGGCCCTTCCCGCGGGACAGTTCTCCACACACATCCCAGACATGGGGCATGAGGCGACGAGCCCTCCCAGCAGGAGGCTCCTGTTCCAGCCAGACTCACCCCTCTGCCAGCCTGGGAAGGCACTCAGGACTCTGAAACACAAGAAAGCAGGAGGACGCCTCAGCAGGGCGCCACCCTCCCTCCTCCCCCTCCTCGCTGGCCCTGGCCGCATTGCTGTCCGTGAGACAAATAATCGCACCCGTTTCCGCATCCTCCTTCGATCCCTGGCCCCATGAGGGTTCTCACACAGATACATGCATCCATGTTGTCCCACGGACAAGCGGACACACACAGCAGGCAGGGCAGAGACGCCCACAGTGAGCCGTGACTGCCAGGAGCCCCGGTTCTCGAGGGTCCCGGAAGGCCCATTTGAAGGTTCGTCCTCGGAGCTGAGAAGCTTCTAGTCTCACTGGACCCTCGGGGCTTTCTGGCCTTCTCAAGACCGCAATGATGGTGTGGAGAGACGGGACGGGGGTGGGTGCACAGCCCACACGGGCTCCCTCAATTTCCCAGCACCCCAGAGCACCCCCGGGGCCCACAAGGAGGGAACAGTGAGCACAGAGCCAGAAGTAAGCCCTGGGCAGAGCAAGACAAGCAAAAAGGTCCCGCACTGCCAACGTGTCCGTCTCTGGACGACTTTAGTGCCAAATCCAAAAGCCGAGTCTTTAGAGCTCACTGGTGGCAACATCCTGAACGCACAATCCTCATTTTCACTCAGTTCTCATTCTTTTTTTCTTTTTGGGCCATATCCAGCAATGCACAGGCGTTACTCCTGGCTCTGCACTCAGGAATTACCCCTGGTGGTGCTCAGGGGACCACAGGGGATGCTGGGAATCGAACCCGAGTCGGCCAGGTGCAAGGCAAACGCCCTCCCTGCTGTGCTATCGCTCCAGCCGCAGTTCTGATTTTTAAAGGCAGAAGGAAAACTCTCCGAATGAAACTAATTTTGTTGCTGTCGTTGTTGCAATGGCCAGGATCAATCCCAGGATCTCACACCTGCAAAGCGGGTGCTCCACGGATGAGCTGCATCCCTGGGCCCTGATGGTTGTTCACTTGCCCTGTGATCCTGGGGCTCAAACCCCGGACTCTGTGCGTGAGAATCACAAGCTCCCTGGAGTAGCTCCCGCCCCAGCCCCAAGAGCCCTCCTAAGAAGCCTCTTCTAGAGGTTTCTAGAAGGAGCAAGACCAGAAACATATGGGAGAACACGGAGGCAGGGCTGGGGATTCGGCTGGAAGCACGGACGGAGGCACGGGCTGGGCCCCGACCACACCGACAAGGCAGCCCGGGTGCAGGCGACGCGTGGAGCTGAGCTCGGAGCACTTACCGCTAACTGGGATGAGGCCCAGCTTTCACTGCAGCTGTTTCTATCAAGGGAGCTTCTTCCAGAGAGCGACTCGGTGGTGCTGCGGTAGGGGGTGGCTGAGTTGAGGAACGCCCTGTGTGCCCCTGGGTCCCCTCGTCCTGCAACCACCCTCTGGTAGTGCCTCACCTGAGCTCGCGGGATCTGAGCAAGGAACTGCTCTCACTGCTGGACGCGATGGACGCTGCCAGGGGCCCTTGGGGTCTCTGGAAGGCACCACGGCTGCGATCAGGCCCCACTGCGACCTCACCACACTGCCCAGCGCCCAGGGGACATACGTCCGCCCCTAGTGCGTGTCCGGTCCAAAAACGCTTTGGGGGGGCCTCAGCACCGAACCCCCCAAGGCCCAGAGGTGGGAAGAGAGCCCTGGGGTCTGCAGCATGACCGGGACACACAGGCAAGACTCAACACGACACGCAGGGAGCAGCGCCAAGCCCAGGGCGACGCCTACCGCGGCCGTGTCCTCCGAGTGTAACTTCTCAAGGGCCCTCTGGGCGGCCAGCTGCTTGGCCTTCTGCTTGGAGCCAGCCAACTCCCTGCCGTAGACTTTCCCGTTGATTCTGCACGTGACCCGAAACCTAGGGGCAAGGGCAGAGAGAGCAGGGCCGGGTAGCAGCAGAGCCCTGCCGGTGCTCAGGGACCACTCCGGGTCCCACACTCAGGGATCACACCTGGTGGTGCTCAAGGGACCACATTTGATGCCAGGGATCAAACCAGGCTTGGCCGAGTGTCTGGGCAAGAGTGATAGCACAACGGGTCAGGCGCCTTGCACACACAGTGACCCGAGTTTGAAGCTCAGGACCCCATTTGGCCAGGAGTCATCCCTGAGCTCAGAGCCAGGAGTAAGTCCTGAGTGCCACCAGTGTGGCCACCGCTTCCCGAAACAAGAGCCAACAACAAAACCCCGGTACTGCCTCTCCAGCCCGGCACCAAGAAGTACTGAGTCTGATTTACGACTTGAAAGGAAAAGTCAAACCCAGTAACCAGCCAAAGTCTCATCAGAACAGTGATGGGGGGGGGGGGGGGAGGGTCCTGTTTCAGCCCCCTGCGTCTCGGCCTCTGCCTTTCCCAGCTGGTTTCTAACTCTCCGGCCATCGAAAGCTCAGTCACAAAAGCACGGAATGCTGATTTTTAATTCCCCAAATATCAAATGCTAGCTCCATGGAGGAGGCGAGGAGGTGGAGGAAGAGGAGGAAGAGGAGGAAGAGGAGGAAGAGGAGGAAGAGGAGGAAGAGGAGGAGGAGAAGGAGGAGGAGGAAGAAGAGGAGAAGGAGGAGGAGAAGGAGGAGGAGGAGGAGGAAGAGGAGGAGGTGGAGGTAGAGGATGAAGAGGAGGAAGATGAGGAGAAGGAGGAAGAAGAAGAGGAAAAGAAGGAGGAGGAGGAAGAAGAGGAGAAGGAGGAGGAGAAGGAAGAGAAGGAGGAGAAGGAGGAGGAGGAGGAGGAGCCCTGGCGATTGTTCAGGTTGTGCGTGAAGGGGAAGGTGACCCGGCCATGGTGGGCACCCCACTGTCCTCTCACCCCCAGTCACCAGGCGTTTGTGATGGGCGAGCAGCACAGCCAATTCTGGGAGCACTAGGCCAGGAGCCTTGGAAGTGAGACCACCTGGACCCTGCACAGACTCTGCCCTCCCGAGTCTCCAGAGAGGGTGGGACACCCCAGGGTGTCCCCTGCATTCCTCTCCCTGGGCACCCCCAGGCGGGTCTGTCCCAGGGACCTCACCGGGGCGCCAAGGGTTCGAGGGTAGGAGACTGTTCTCGGGCAGACTGACCCTCACCCCGCCTCAGGGAGCACCTCATGCCTCCTTCCAGGGAGCACCTCATGCCTCCTTCCAGGGAGCACCTCCAAACTTCCTTCCAGGGAGCACCTCCATGCTTCCTTCCAGGGAGCACCTCATGCCTCCTTCCAGGGAGCACCTCCATGCTTCCTTCCAGGGAACACCTCATGCCTCCTTCAAGGGAGCACCTCCAAGCTTCCTCCCAGGGAGCACCTCCATGCTTCCTTCCAGGGAGCACCACATGCCTCCTTCCAGGGAGCACCTCCATGCTTCCTTCCAGGGAGCACCTCATGCCTCCTTCAAGAGAGCACCTCCAAGCTTCCTCCCAGGGAGCACCTCCATGCTTCCTTCCAGGGAGCACCTCATGCCTCCGTCCAGGGAGCACCTCTATGCTTCCTACCAGGGAGCACCTCATGCCTCCTTACAAGGAGCACCTCCACGCTTCCTTCCAGGGAGCACCTCAGCCTCCGTCCAGGGAGCACCTCTATGCTTCCTTCCAGGGAGCATCTCATGCCTTCTTCCAGGGAGCACCTCTATGCTTCCTTCCAGGGAGCATCTCATGCCTCCTTCCAGGGAGCACCTCCATGCTTCCTTCCAGGTGGGGGCAGAGATGGCGGCCCGGCCTGGCCTCCCCTGCAGCTCGCTCCGGCCCACTCTGCTCCCCCCACTCCAGCACCCCTCATGCCAGTCACCCCAGGCTCTCGCTGGCACCCTCCCAGCATGCGGCCTGCTCTGGAGAGCGACACCTCGGCCGCCAGAACCGGGTCAGCCCTGCTCGCAAGAGGAACCCCGCCCGCACACCCCCATCCCTCAGGCCAAGACCACCCGTCTCACTGGGTCCTGCTCTTCAACCTCTATTTTTATTTTTTTTTTTGGCTTTTTGGGTCACACCCAGTGATGCACTGAGGAATCACTCCTGGTGGTGCTCAGGGGCCCATATGGGATGCTGGGGATCGAACCCGGGTCAGCCGCGTGCAGGGCAAACGCCCGCCCCACTGTGCTATCGCTCCAGCCCCATCTTCAACCTCTTCACCCTGCGCCGGCGCCTTTCGTAAAGACCAGCCCGTGGGCCGGAAGCCGTGGCAGACAGGGGGCTGAAGACCACCGAGCTGGCGGAGCGCAGACAGAGGGTCGCCCAGATCTAGTCAATCGCCAGACAGGAAGCCCAAGACCCAGGCAGTGGAGCATCGAAAAATACTTTCCGAAGAGGACCCCTGGGGCACCCGCAGTGATTTCTGGGGAATCAGTCACGGGAGAAGCCCCGCCAGAGGCCAGACTGCAGAAACCACCAGCTGGGAACTCACTGTTGGGGGCTCCGTTCTTCACAGTCGTATAAGACCTGCAGGCCGTTCTTCTGGGCATACGTGTTGAGCTGACCCACGTGGTTCCCAGCACCGGTGCCTTGCGAAGGCAATTTCGCGGCCGGTGAGAAAGAGCTTCTGACCTACCGAGGAAAAAATAAAACCCTTCTTTTCTTTTCTTCTTTTTCTTTCACTTTTGGGTCACATCCGGCGATGGTCAGGGGTTCCTCCTGGCTCTGCGCTTAGGAATCATTCCTGGCAGTGCTCGGTGGACATTATGGGCAGTCGGTTCTCATCACTTTGTGGCGGTTCCGGAGTCCTCTGGCAGTGGCCAGCAGGGCTGGAGGCTCAGTGCCAGTGCCCCGGCCTGCCCCGAGGCCGAAATGGGCCCCCGGGCTGCACACTGGGAGCCCCTGCGGAGCCCAGGGGGAAGTCACCTCCCCCATGGTGCCACTTCAGCCGGGACCCTTGACTTGGCATCAGAAACTTTCCCGAGGCTGGGAGAGCCTGTCGGAGCCTCCTGGCCCTGGCCCTCGGCGTGCCGGCCTGCGGTGTCCTGGCCAGGCAACCGCGCCAAGCCGGCTTCCCAGGAGCGCCCCCGCGGCCCCGTCCTCTGCCGCCTCCTCTCCTCCCCGCCACTGCCCACGGGGTCCCGGCTCTGTGCCTCAGTGCTCAGTGGGCTCAGGGGACCTGCAGTGGCCGGGCCCGGAGTGGCCCCAGCGGGCACGGCAGACGGTCCCCACACCCTCCTCCCTCGTGCCGCCTGTCTCCCAGGTGCTCAGGGCTTTCAGTGACTCAGTTCTGTCACGGGTGGGGGTGCTATTCCCCGACCCTGTCGCTGTGCTCATCCCCCGGATGGTCTTTGTCTCAGAAACACCTTCAAGGGAGAGCTCTTCAGAAAGCGTCTCTGTTGTTTTTTGGGGGGGAGTGGGGAGGTGTTGGGGTGAGAGCCAGCAGTGCTCCGGAAACAGTGCTCAAGGATCCAAACGCAGTGCCAGTTGGAGTAGGGTCGGCCCCTTACAAGACAAGCACCTCAACTCCTGTTCCGGATCTCCGAGCCCCAGAGGGCTTTGCCGGACGCTCTGCCCTCCTTGCAGACATGGGCTGGACCTCTGACCCCTGGTCCCCTCCCTCTCCTGCACCTCCGCCCTCCGCCAGCAGGGGGCCAGGGGGCGCAGTCCTGGCAGCCGGGTCCTTCCCACCCAGACACCCGACCTGGGCCTGACTGGCTGTCCCCGCTGGCTCCTCCAGGGCCTCTCACTGGCGGGTGGGGGCTACAGACCTCAGAAGGCAGAGGGCCGACGGGGGGAGTCTTTCCTCAGCACCCACCCAAGTGACGAAGCATGTTTGTGAGGCCCTCGGTGCCTGTGTGTGTGTGCACGTGTGCGCGTGTGCGTGCGTGTGTAGTCTGGGTGTCCATCCGTAGGGCTGAGAACCTACTCATGACCCGTGTGTGAGTCTGTGTATCTGTGTGTGTGTGTGTGTGTGTGTGTGTGCATGTCCATGTGTGTAGACTGAGGACCCACACACGCTCTGTGTTCATGTGTGCGTGTCCATGTGTGTAAGCTGAGGACCCACTCACGTCCCATGTGTGAGAGTCTGTGTGTGTGCGTGTGTGTGTGTGTGTGTAGGCTGAGGATCCATTCATGTTCTGTGCGCATGTGTGTGCGTGTGTGTGTGTGTGTGTGTGTGCGCACGCGCACAGGTGTCTGTGTGTAGTGGTAAGGACCCACTCACATCCCATGTGTTTGAATCTGTGCATGTGTGTGTGTGTGCATGTGTGTAAGCTGAGGACCCACTCACGTCGTGTGTGTGTGTGTGTGTGTGTGCATAGGCTGAGGATCCATTCATGTTCTGTGCGCATGTGTGTGCGTGTGTGTGTGTGTGTGCGCGCGCGTGTGTGTGCACGCGCACACGTGTCTGTGTGTAGTGGTACGGACCCACTCACATCCCATGTGTTTGAGTCTGTGTATGTGTGTGTGTGTGATGTGCGTAAGCTGAGGACCCACTCAGGTCCTGTGTGTGTGTCTGTGTGTGTGTGTGTGTGTGTGTGTGTGTGTAGGCTGAAGACTCACCTGCGCGTTCAGAATCTCGAGTGCGATCTTGGCCGCGCCGTTCTTGGCTTCCTTCTTATTGCTGCCCCCTGCTGCGGGGAACTCTTTCCCGTCGATGACCACCTGAAGTGCAAACCTGACGACGGAGGAGAGTCACAGTCTGGTGTGTGCTGTGAGGACCGGAGCCCGGTCACCCTCCTGCCATGGTGCCCACGGCTGGCAGAGGCCACCGGTGTCCGGTCCAGAGCCCAGCGGTGTCCCCGGGAACAGGGAGCCTGTCTGAGTAAGTCGTTTCATGCCGGGACCCTCCTGGACCGTCAGGGCTACAGCCCGAGCCCAGTGCGGTGACTTTAAACAGACACAGGGGCTCCCAGTTCCCAGGGTTGTCCCTTTTTCATATAAAAATGGGGGGCCACCCCCAGGCGCGATGCAGGACAGCGTCCCGGCTCTGGGTGGGCCAGCGGCCAGGGGACACCAGAGCCGTGCGTGGGTCACAGGTGCCACGGCAGGGCGGGCTCTGAGTGGAGACCCACCTGAACTTCTTCAACAGGGGCGAGTCGGTCAGCTCCCGATACTGCACCTCTCCGCTGTGCTGCTGTTTGAATTTGTTAAGTTCTTCTATGTAAAACCCAGGTTTAGAATCGTCGGCCATTTCTTGTCCGGGAGGAGTTGGCAGAGGCGCTGTGCGAATGCCTGGTCACTCCTCTACGAGGGGACATGCGGCCACATCAGTCTCCAGCAGGCACATGCGCACCCCCTCCCCCGGCCCCATGAAGGAGGCCCAGTGGTTCGTGCCATCCTCTGCCTCCGGGGGTGGCAAGGGCCAGAGCCTGGTCTGGGTGGACCCACTCACATCCCGTGTGTTTGCGTGAGAGCCACAAGGTCACGAGTGCAAACATGGGTGCCGGCACCCAGCCTAGGGAGGGGTCAGGGTGAGGGACACCCAAGGCAAATGTGGGGGTGTGGGTTCAACCCCCCAGAGCTGCAGCCCACGCCGTGGCAGCCCCCACAAGCCACATGTCCAGGGTCCCCCAGCAAGGGGTAGAACTAACCCAGCAGGGCCAGCCTGCCTGAGGAGGTCCATGGGGGGCTCAATGGGTAGGGCACTTGCCTGGCACACCGGACCTGGGTTCAGCCCCCAGCCCCATACAATCCCCAGGGTGCCACCCTGAGCACAGAGCCCAGAGTTAGCCCTGAGCACCACCAAGTGTGGCTCAGAAACAGAGGGAGAGAGGGAGAGAGAGGCGGCGGGGAGAGAGAGAGAGAGAGAGAGAGAGAGAGAGAGAGAGCGCCCATGTGAGTGGCACTGAGAAGGGAACAGCTGAGAATAGAGGTATAAAGTGAAGTTTGTGGAACCTGGAAGGGATTTAGCGCCACGGAAATAGGTTTCCCATAAAACCCTGTTCTCCCAGTCTGAAATCTGCAGCAGGCGGTTCTGGGGTGGGGGCTCCATGGAGTGTTGGGGGTACCCAGGGGCCATGCGGGCTGGGCCGAGCATTCAGAACGCAGGTCAAAACGCTGAATCTCTAGGGGGGAAACTCAAGGACCACTGGGCATCCCACGGGATCTCACTGATGCCAACCGAAGCCCCAGCAACCCAAGTGAAACCCAAGGAAAAAGAGAAATGCACTTCCCGGAAATGAAGATGTTTATGCCAAAGGACAGTATGAGGAAAAGGAAAGGAAATGTGGGGGGTGGGGGGGCACTTCCCAGGGGGACAAGGGCAGCTTGAGGCTGCACAGCTTCCCTGACACCACGGCTGAGCCGGGTTCGATTCCCGAAGCCCACCAGTAGAGGCTCCTGAGCGCAGAACCAGGAGGGAGCACTGAGTGCAAGCGCGCACACACGCGCACACGCGCACACGCACACGCGCACGCTGGAGTTGGGTGCCCACGGCTCAGGAAAGGCTGGCGACCCGGGTACCTAGAGGCGCGGGGTAGGCGGGCGCCCTGCGGGAAGCGGAAGAACGTTCTGGAAGGCGCGGGGCGGCGCGGGCGCGGGACTTTCCCGGCGTGCGGGAAGTCGCGGGAACCCGCTGGAGGACCCCGCCGGCGCGCCCCGTCGGGCCGAGCCAGGACGCCGGACGCCGCCCCGGAGGCCGCCCCCAGGCCCGGGTCGCTCCCGCGGGACCCCGCGCCCCCTCGCCCCGGGACAGCGCCCCGGGTCCCCAGCGCGCCCCGACCGCCCCCCGCAGCTCCCCGCGCGCCCGGGGCACGCCCTGGCCCCCGCGATGCCCCGCGCGGACCCCCGACCCCAAACCGCTCCGACCCCGGGCTGCGCCCCGCAGAGCCCCCGCCCCCGGGCCTGGACCCGCCCACCCTCCAGGCGGGCACCCCAGAGCCGCCCCCGCCCGCGGCTTGCCCGGCCGCCCCCGACCCGCTACCTCCGGCCCCGTCTGTGTCCGACCCGCCCGTGCCCGGCCCGCTGCAGCCGCCGACCCCGCGCTGCCCCCGGCCCGCTGCCCCCGGCCCCGTTCTGTGTCCGGCCCCGCCGTGCCCGGCCCGCTGGCCCCGCTTACCCGGCGAGACCCGGGCCCGCAGCGCGCACCCCCGATGCCCCCGGCCCCGTCTATGCCCGGCCGCGCCCGCGCGCCCGTCTCCTCGGTCCCGGTCCGTCCCGGTGCGCCCGCGGCCGAGTCTGTCCGAATCCCTCCCGGCCCGCGCGTGGTTTCGTTTTCCCCGCGGGCTCCGCCCCGGACACAGGCCGCCCGCGAATCCGGGCGCAGCCTCAGGTCCCCCTGGCTGGAAACCTGGACAAGTGCCCGGAGTGCGCGCCCGCGCGCGCACACACACATATGCACTGTCACTGTCACTGTCACTGTCCTCCCGCTGGTCAGCGATTTGCTCGGGCGGGCACCAGTTCCGTCTCCATCGTGCGGGAGGGCCGAGGGCCCGACTCACCCTCCGAGCAGAGGCCCCGAGCCCTGAGCACCCCACTGCGACTTCCCTTCACAGTCAGTGGTGTTCCCTAGCATGGCCCGTGAGCCCTGATTGGGTTACGCCCTCAGCCACTGGCATAATTTCTTTCTGTTTTGACTCTAGTTGTGTCTTTTTTTTTTTTTTAACTTTTCTACTTGGAAATGTTAAGCCGCAATTTCTAATCAATTTCTGAAATCAAAGCATTTATTTATTTATTTAGCGGGCCGGAGCGATAGCACAGCGGTAGGGTGTTTGCCTTGCACACCGCCAGCCCTGCTGAGCCGGGTTCGATTCCTCTGCTCCTCTTGGAGAGCCCGGCAAACTACTGAGAGTATCTCCCCCGCAAGGCAGAGCCTGGCACGCTACCTGTGACATATTCGATATGCCAAACACAGTAACATCAAGTCTCACAATGGAGACATTACTGGTGCTTGCTCGAGCAAATTGATGAACAACGGGAGGACAGTGCTCCAGTGAAGTGCTATTTATCTGGGGAGGGGGTCACACCTGGGATGCTCAGGGGTTCCTCCTGGCTCTGCACTCAGGAATTACTCCTGGCAGTGCTCGGGGGACCATATGGAATGCCCAAGCATTGCCAGGCGTGGCCCCCAAATCAAATGCGGGGTCTAAGGGCTCCAAACCTGACCCCCCAGCCCAAGGGGCAGTGCTGTGGGGACGACCCCTGAGCCCCACCCCTGGGGTGCCCTGGTGCCCACACCCCACACCCCAATGGTGGGTGATCTTCATTGTTCAGTTTCGGTTTCGGTTTCGGTTTTGTTTTCCACTTTAGGTTTGGGGCCCCCAAACTAAGACTCCCCCTCTGAAAGGAGAGAAGGACGGAGCAGCCTCGAACAAACAAAGGCGTGGCTGTCTCGTGGCACCTGTGGCTTCTCCGGCGGGCACGGCGCCTCTGCCCTGTGTGTCCGGCGCCCTGTCCTGTCGGCTCTCTTGACTCTGGAAGTGTGCGGTCACTAGGGCCAGTGTGCAGGCGGGCTGCCGGCCACTGCACTGGCCCCGACACCGGGCTCTCCTGGTGCCCTCCCCACTCCGGTCTCCCTGAATCCTTACTTGATTCTCTGATCCCACTTTGATTTTGTTTTGCATTACATTCAGCGATGCTCAGGGGTTACTCCTGGCTCTGCACTCAGGAATCACTCCTGGCTGTTCACGGGGACCCTATGGGATGCCGGGGATCGAACCCAGGTCAGCCGCGTGCAAGGCAAATGCCTCCCCGCTTCGCTATCGCTCCAGCCCTTATATATGTGTGTGTGTGTGTGTGTGTGTGTGTGTGTATACATATATATATACATATATATATAGTAACCGTCAGGAGAAAACCATTTTCCTTCTTTGTTTTTATTTAATAATAATAACGATGATAGTCATTATTATGATTAGGGTTGAGGTGGGGCTCAGGGACTCAAGGGTGCTGTGGCTTGGCCACTGCCTCCCCCGTGTCGTCTCTGCAGTTCCCGGAAAGATTTCCCGAGCCTCCATCTGGTCCCTGTCCTGGGAGCAGGGAACAGGTCGCTGTTTGTTTTGTGTGCCAGGCCTGCGGCCCAGGGCCTGGAACATTCCACCACCGAGGCCCAATGCTCCCAGCCCAGGAGAAGGGTTGGGGCTCTGAGCCACCCTTTGCTCGGTGCGAGCGTGTGGACCGTCCCTCTGCAACCTCCAAATCTCACGGGCTTGGGCTGTGGGGACGCACTAGGCAGAGTGGAATATGGGGACTGTGAAGGGCCCAGAGCGTGGCGGCCTGGGAGGGTCAGGCTGCGGGTTCCAGCCCAGGGGCCCGAACGTGACTGAGTTCCTTTGGGCAGCTGTGCTGTGGCTGGCCAGTGTCTCACCACAGCCCGAGATGGTGAGACCCTGGAGAGCACCCGTCAGCCAGCCCACCTGTTAGCCCAGTGCACCCATCAGCCAGCGCACCCATCAGCCCATGAGTGCACTGTACCCATCATCCTGGTGCCGTGTATGCGGCTAACCCCAGTTCAACCCCTGGCACCACCAGGAGTGATCCCTGAGCACAGAGCCAGGAGTAAGCTCTGAACATGGCCAGAAGTGGCCCCCTCACAAAACAAACCACATAGAAAGTTCCTGGACCGGAGCCATAGCACAGTGGGGAGGGCGTTTGGCTTGTGTGCGTCCGACCCAAGTTCAATTCCTGGCATCCCATAAGGTCCCCTGAGCACCGCCAGGAGTGATTCCTGAGTGCAGAACCAGGAGGAACCCCTGAGCATCACCGGGTGGACCCAAAAAGCAAAAAAAAAAAAACCCAAAACAAAAACAAAGTTCCTGGAAAGTGGGGTGACATGTGAAACCAGCATTTCTTCTTTTGAATTGCCTTTTGATTCTTCTGAATCATCAGGTTTCAGTCACACAACGCTCTAGCACCCGTCACTCCACCAGAGCACATTCCCCACCACCCATGTCTCCCGCTTCCCTCCCTCCACCCCCGCCGCAGACACCCAGCCCGCCTCTACACACCAGCCTCTATGACCCTGCCGCTTCCAAGCTTGTTTCCTCTCTGTGGTTCCCCTGGCCTGCAGCTGACCCCCAAGTCTCGGGCTGTGGCCTCCCGTTTATGTGATTTTTACCTGTGACCCCCTTGGAATATCCTGGGGGTTCACGTGACGCCCCCATGGAGAACATTGGTCTACGCTAGTCACGATTCTCTTCGGATCTTCTCGGACATTTCCTCTTGGAAGTATCCCCGAAAAGGGAACACAGGGATGGGGTCAGAACTGCAGGACACTGGGGAGGGCGTGTGCCTTGCTGGCAGCTGACCCAAGTTCGATTTCTGGCTCCCAATATGGTCCCCTGAGCACCTCCGGGTGTGGTTCCTGAGTGTAGAGCCAGGAGTAACCCCCGAGTATTGCTGGGTGCAGCTCATAACAGCAACAACAACAACAAATGAGCACAGTGAAATTTATACTTAGGAAATCAAGTCTGACGGTGATTGCTAACTTTGTGTTAAGTAGCTAAGTATTATGAATATTATTTGCCCAGTGGATTAAGCTGTTGAATCAAATTCAATCATTACTAGTAACTCGACGAAGTCACGCCTGGCAGTATGTGTCATACTTCAGTTTTGCCCCCAGGCTGGTGCCCGCTAAGCACGCTTTGAATTTTTCATCCATTTCTTGGTTCTGAGCTTCACTGAACAAATTTTTCCAATCGCCGACTTCACCTACAAAGTACCAAAAAATGGTTAGAATATTTGAGTTCCCCTTTTCTTGGCACAGTGTCTCACTCTGTATCTGGGTGTGTGGCCAGTGGCACTCAGTGACACTCGGGCCCACCCCTGCTTGGGGGCCATGTGAGGTGCTGGGTTTCCGGCAATCGTGCAGGCAAGCACCCTTGGACCCCTCCGTCACCGTCAGTACTTCTTGGGGAAAAAAACCATTTTACAGCAGGTTTAGGCGAAGACCACGGATGGGTACTAAAATTTTTAAGACTTATACTGGGACAGGAGCGGGGAAGGCACTTGCCGTGCACACGACCCATCCAGGTTCGATCCCCATAACCCCATAGGGCCCTCAGAGCACTGCCAGGAATGATCCCTGGGTGCAGAGCCAGGAGTGAGCCCTGAGTATCACGGAGATGAGCCAAACCAAACCAAACCAAACCAACAACAACAACAAAAATAAACAAAACCCAAAACAAACAAACAAACAAAAAGTTAGCAAAATTCCCAATTGCGGGCAGAAGAATAACTTGCAACTGGGAATTTTGCTAACTTTTTTTTTTTCCTTTTTGGGTCACACCTGGTGTTGCACAGGAGTTACTCCTGGCTCTGCACTCAGGAATTACTCCTGGCAGTGCTCGGGGGACCATATGGGGTGCTGGGAATCGAACCCGGGTCGGCCGCGTGCAAGGCAAATGCCCTCCCCGCTGTGCTATAGCTAACTTGTTTTTAAAATTGAAGGATGTCACTCCTGTCGCTAGATGATTTGCGCTAAACTTCTCAGCTGCCTGCGTAGACGTTGGCGTGTGTCCGAAGAAGATGGACTGTCGTGAGGAAGCACAAAGCAGAAGCCTGTTTAGAAATGTCACCAGCTAGAAAGTAGACTATGGACCAAACATGATGGCCACTTACTACCTATATCGCAAACCATAGCACCTAAAAAAAGGAGAGAGAGAGAAAAAGGGAATGTGCCTGCCACAGAGGTGGGGGGAGCGGGGGGTTGGGGTGGCGGGAGGGTTACTTGGAACACTGGCGGTGGAGAATGAGCACTGGTGGAGGGATGGGTGCTCTATCATTGTATGACTGAAACATAATCACGAAAGTGTCTGTAACTGTATCTCACAGTGATTCACATATATATATATATGCAGTGTCTTCCCATTGTTCATCGATTTGCTTGGGCGGGCCCAGTAACGTCTCCATTGTGAGACTTGTTGTTACTGTATTTGACATACCGAATACGTCACAGGTAGCTTGCCAGGCTTTGCCGTGTGGGCGAGATACTCTCAGTAACTTGCCGGGCCCTCCGTGAGGGGCAGAGGAATCAAACCCGGTTCAGCCCAGCTGGCAGCTTGCAAGGCAAACACCCTACTGCTGTGCTATTGCTCCAGCCCTCATATATATATATATGTATATATGTATATATATATGCGTGTGTGTGTGTGTGTGTGTATAAATGTCACCAGGTGATGAGGCCGCAGAGCGTAAGGCTGGAAGGAGCCAGTCAAATCTCTCTCCAGTGGGAAGCTGGTGGATCACTGTTCTTTTTTGAAAGCCCTCAGAGGCTGCTCGTGGGGCTCAGGGAACCTTCTGTGATGCAAGGGGTCGAACCAAGGTTGTCTGGGGCACAGACAACACCGAACCCCAGCACTGTCTCTCGAGCCCCTGGGGACCCTGCCAGATGATTTTCCACATTTCCCTCTGCTTTTGGGACTCCCTAGTAGGACTCCTACAGATGTCTAAAATACTTAATATTTTTCTTTTCTGGAGGGTATGTGATAAATAATACCTGGAAAGCTTTGATTCCCTCTTCTTGCTAATAAGACACATGCAGA